TTAAACTGTGTTGTCTTTAGTACATAACCTGGGGGATCAGGGACTGCCATTTATTACATATTCTGGTACCATCTGAGTTTCTATGAAAGAGGGTCAAGAATGCCTCACATGAGATATCTGACATAATCCCACCCTAGATGCCATTTTAGATACCTTCAATGTCATTATGTGTAGTCCAAACTTCTCTTACAAGCCACCACTCTCTCTGCCCTTGATAATCTCCGAAATTTCTACTGGCAAGGCTTAATTCAATAAACGCTTCTATATGGGATGGTGGATCTTGAGTCCTGCAAGGAGCAAGCAGGCTCCAGATTCCTCAATCCACGTTTCTTTGCCTCCAATTCTTACGTGTCCAAAGACAGGGAGCCACAGACACGCCTTTGTAGGAGAGTCACATAAAACATTTTTTAAATTACCTTATACAGTACAGTCTAGAGATGATATAGAAGAGCATTATCATACTCTGCAAATGGGAGAATAAACTGGTACAGCTTTTCGAAGAGGTAATTTTGTAACATTTATCAAATGTGTTGGTCCAATAATTCCACTTCTAGAAATTTATCCTAATGAAATAATCATGGACGGAGATTTATATGCAAGAATGACAACACCAGCGTTATCTCTAATATTAAAAACTTGACAATGCCATAACTGTCCAACAATAGCAGGTTGGATAAATAAATTACTCTTGTGCAAGGGACTATACCTACACCATTAATAACAGCGATCTCAGAAAACATCCAGTCATATGGGTAGGTGCTCATAATACAACATAAGTGAAAAGACAGTATAAATCTGCATACATGCAATATGACCCTTGTTTTGTAAAAAAATATATATATATCTATAAATATGCACAAAAAAATACTAGAAGAAAATGCATACATTAAATATTAACATTTTAGAAAGATTATGCTAAAAAATATTTTAATGAAACAAACAATCCACTAGCAGAAAGCTGATAGCCCTGGTCAGAAGCATGAGATGACAGCTAGGGCTGAACAGTAGGCTCTGTCACTGACCAGGGCAAATTTGTACAAAACAGGCTAAACCTGCAGATCTCCAGAACTGAAAAAAAACTCTACAGGCCCTTAAAGAAATAAATATCTTTTTAAAAAATCTGAAATAGCCCAGCCCTAGCTGTCCCCTCTTACGTAGCACATATATTTCTGTTATGATGTGGGCAGAACAGGGCACTTCACAAATCACTAGGCAAAAGCTCACCCTGAAAGAGGGACTAGGCCTTCACAATCCATAAGCCTCTCAGATACATCAGTGGAAGAAATCCAGGAGTGGAGCCCTAGTTTCTGCACCCAGGACTGTGCTTTGTTCACATTATACATATCCATGACTAGTCTACACTGGCTTCTCCAGCTACTACAGTTCTGCTCATGACCCTACTCTCTCCTCCACTCCTCCCTTGGCCAAGCTCTAAATCCTGTTACTACAGCAACCCTACACCAACCATCATCTCAATGTCAAGCATCCCACTTTCTAGCTTTCCAGCTAATCCCATCTAGGTACCCTGAATCCAATCATCTTTACCCTCACAAATCCTCTGATTCATTGATCCCACTACATTTTTTTAAATGTTTCGGCCATAGGGCATGTGCACTTGCCAAAGAGACAGACAGTAAGAGGGAAAGTAAGAAATCACCCACCAGGGGGATGGCTACAGAGCAATTCCTTGGATTTGGGGCACATACACACACATGCCCAGAGTGATTTTCAAGCTGGCAGTCCAGGACTTGAGCTGTGATCAGCCATGTGAGATTCCAGCACCTTAACCGCCACACCACCTGCTGGCCCCAATCACACTATATTTTATTTTATTTTTGAGAGGTTTCTGTCTTAGGAAGCATACACTCACCAGAGAGAAAAAGAGACAGTGAAAGGGAAAGTGAGAAATCACCTCCAGGAGGGATGGCCACTCTGCAATCCCTTCTCCTCCATGGACTCTGAGCACACACACGCGCCCAGTGTGATTTTGAAGCCACCGGATCCGGGACTCAAACCATATGGGAGTCCAGCAACATAATCGCTACACCATCTGCTGGTCCCAATTCCACTACATTTTAATGTCCCTCATCCCTCTGTGTTCTGACATCTACCATTTCCATAATCCATAATTATAACCATTTCCTCACACATACACTCTCGACTCCTTCTCTCCCTTCATAGTACTTGCCTGGCAAAACCTCAACTCTAGGATCTACTTCTGCCTGGCTGTCTACTCCAAGCCTGGAACTTCGCATGGCTGGGAAACTTACAGGACCAAGTTGACCAGTCTCAGTTTAAATCTCAAACCACTAACCTGAAGGGGGATCTTGGTGCTACCCAACAATCTTACAACATTCCCTTACTCTTGCCACTCTTCTTGACTGATTCCTTCCTTTCCACCTCCTAACCTCCCCAATCTCCAACACTGTCACTTCTGTTCTCAGTAAATTATCTTAGTTTCTGATCACTGAGAACATAGAAGCAATCAGAGGGAACTTTCACAGGTTTCCACACCTAGCCAGCAGGCCCATGCTCCTACCAAGGCCAATCTCTTTACTCAAGCTCAGATCATGCTCAAGGAGTCACTCTGAGTAATTCTTCCCCTCTCTTACACTGTTAGCTCTTCCCCTCCACCGAATCAATGACAATCCCCCACATTTTAAAAACTCTCAACTCAACATGCCTTTCAATCCCACTTCTCAGCTCCCTTCTGCAAATCTCAAGAATGGTCTACCTTCTTGCCTCTAGTCTTTTCCTCCTGTCTCTTTCATCAGGCTTTTGCCTCAACCACTCTGCCACAGCTACCTCCTACGGGGCTAAATCCCATTGTGATCAGTTGGTCCCACCTGATCTGTGTTTTTCTCTTGGAATGAATTCAACCCAGATAGCAGGTTCTCTTGATCCGCTTCATCTCTTCCATCCTGAGTCACTGAAGGACTCCAGGCTTAGGCTTAGTGCTCAGCTTCCTCACTCCCTCAGTGACATCATTCTATCATAAGGCTTTCTATCATTAGGTCCAACTGGACCTGATGACTTCCAGCATTCTGTTTACTAACAGATGTCTCTTCTTTTTTCTCTTTTTGGAGAGGTTTTTGCTATAGGGTGCATGTGCTCACCAGAAAGACAGAAACAGAGAGAGAGAAAGTGAGAAATCATTCCCCAGGGGGATGGACACACCATAAACCCTTCTCCTCCATTCTCCTCTTGGGATCTTGGGCACACACGGACATGAGCCCAGCGTGAGTTTAAGCCACCGGGTCTGGGACTCAAACCACAGTCGACTACATGGGAGTCCAGCGACATAGCCATTATGCCAATTGCTGGTCCCCAGAAGTCTCTTCTTAACCCTCTCCCTGGACTATACTTCTAACTCAACCACATGCAAGAGTGGTCTTCAGAAAGTTCATGGAAAATGTGTATTTTGAAAAAACTATGCATGGATTTCAAAAATCTTTTCCCCCAAAATTAAACTAGTGCTTTAATACCATTTTCCACAAGCTTTTTTTTTCTGCTCCAATGAAACCCAATCTGCTTTGGATAATCTTAGACATTGTAATAGTTTGAGGACATAAGTAGAGTCATTTTTTATAGAGACAGAAAGCGAGAAATCACCCCCCAGGGGGGATGGTCACGCCGCAATCCCTTCTCCTCCATTCTCCTCTCGGGATCTTGGGCACGCACGCACATGCGCCCGGCATGAGTTTTTTAAGCCACAGGGTCCGGGACGCGAAACGTGGTCGACTACGTGGGAGTCCAGCGACATAGCCATTATGCTAACTGCTGGTTCCCTTCCACGAGTTTTTTTAAATCATGTGTACTCATATAACTATACAGACCCACACACATATCATCGCAAACTTAGCATGCCATATTCAAAACTGATCAAACCTAATCTTCTGACAATGTTTGTCTTCCCAGTAAACATCTAATGAAATGCAGATTTCAGCTCAAGCCAAAAACTGATGTCATCCACAGCTCCCCTCCTCACACACCCACCCAACCCTCTGGTTCTATAGGCAAAATACACCCATAACTTGACGATCTTTTACTACCTCTAACTAGCATCCTCATCCAAGCCATCATCTCTCACACAGATCGTTCACAACCTCCGACTGAGCTCACTTCTGCCCTTGCCCCTCCAGTCAACTTCCAACATATTATCCAGAATGACTTTTACAATACCCGAGTTCATGTGCCACCTCTACTGGAAAACGTGCCAAAGTTTCACTCGGAGGACAAGCCAAAACCCCTGCAGGGTCCCACATCTGTGCCCAGCCCCATCTCTGGAACCTCAAGGCCTGTTTTACTCACTTGGCCCAATCACAATGGGCTCCTGGCTGGCTACCTCTGTTCCTACCTTTCCTCCATCTGGAAAGTTCTGACTCCCAACGTGTCTCAATCCCTTCCCAGCTACAGTACTCCACACACTATCTCCCTGTTCCGCTCTATTTTCCTCCATCCTACGTATTGGCCACCTGTGTATCTTATTCATCTGTCTGTACCGTTTGCAATGTAGGTTCACTAAATTAGAGGCTCTTCTTTATTTCTGTTCAAGGTGTAGTAGCCCCAGCATCTTGAACTGTACTGACACACAGGAGGAACCCAATAAACGGTCTTCAAACTACTAATTAACAATGAGAGAACGCAAAGCATACTCATGCTATCAAGCGAGAGCTGAACACCCTGTGGACAGCTAAGGCTTAAGAGTTCCAACTCAAAAGTCCAAAGGAAGATAGAGTCCGTGCCACTGGCGACCTAGAACCCACCCAAGTCCCTTCAGCTTGTCCACAAAGGGTCATGCGAAAGGACCCCACGCGGGGCCTTACCAGTTCTGCGGACCCCAGGGCCGCCCCTGGTCCCGTCGCGCGAGGACTCTCGCACCCACGTGAGGGCCCGGAGCCCACCCCGGGGCTCAGGATCTGGACGTCCCTGGCCAGCCGGCCTGACCCGCCACGGCCTAGCGCCGCCCGCCCTGCCCCGCCACGGCCTAGCGCGCTTACCTGCGCCCACCTGCTCCGACCTGCGCGTGCCCGGCTGCTTCGCCGCCTACCAGCTTCCGGCAGGGCCCTACGCCCGCGTACGCGCCAGTCCCGCCTTCAGGTGGGCGGTGCCACCTAGTGGACAAGGCCTGCCTCCGTCGTCGCTTCCGACCAATGACAAGCGGCGGCCGCAAGGGAGCTGTCCTGGCGCAGACTGGTAACGTCATCTCTAGAAGCCGCTAGTTGCTAGGAGAGCAATCGGTTGCCAGGGCAACTTCCTCCCCGCCCTCCCCGACACGTGCTGCACATCCAGGCTCTCTCCCCACGTGGGCAGCTGCGGGGTGTAGCCCTTGGGCAGGGCCGGGAATCCGGGTGGGGGGCCTCCAACCCTGGACACAGGGAGGGCCCAGGGAGGAAGCACGACACAGGAATTTAAATGGATGAACTGCGGTTGGGGGGGGGGGTGTTCGTCAGCATAGATACATCTCAAACTTAGTATTAACTGTTAAAAATAGGAGTGCAGGAGCAGGGGCAGTAGGTGACATGGTGATTAAAGGCACTGGATTTCCACGTGGCTAACCGAGGTTCAAGTTGCAGTTGCGGAGCTGGCAGCTTGCTTTCCCGCTTTCCTTTTCTCTCTTTCTCTCTTTCTCTCTCTCTCTCTCTCTCTCTCTCTCTCTCTCTCTCTGGTCAAATTAAAAAAATAATGATGGGGCCGGCAGATGATGTGGTTGTCCGGAACTCTAGACTCCCACATGGTCGACAGTGGTTCGAGTCCTGCACCTGGAGGGTTGCTTTCTCACTTTCCCTCTCTCTCTTTGTCTCTCTATGGTCAAATTAAAATAAATAGTTAAATAAAAATAATTTTTAAAATATTAGTAATAATGATCACAATTAATGGAATTAAATAATACCTTTTTTAAAATCAGAGTGCAAAAGGTTAGGTGCTAAAAAATAAAAATAAAAGGTATGTGCTGTTACAAGTGTATTTGTAAACAATTTCTGAAGGTCAATATTATACATTGTGTATGAATGTATACAAATGTAGTAAATGCATACCTAGAAAAATGTTAGTGAATTCAGAGTAGTGGTCACTTCAACAGTGAAATAGGCTAGTAATTAGATGGGAATCTGGAGTGGGCGAGGGGTCTTCTATTTTTAAGATGGGAAATATCGGAACAAGTTAATAATCTCTAGTTTCATTCTCTACGGATGTTTCTTTCTTTCCATTGCTATTACAACTAAGTTATAATAACCTGTCTGACTCCTTGTGCGTATACATCAGTCCCTACAAAGCACACAGGAGAGAATTTCTGGGCCACCAGTATAAGCATATCCAACTTAAGTTGGAGGTTCAGTTTTCTTTTTTTAATTAGCTAAAGGCCGGAGCCAGCAGTTGACATAGTGGTTAAAGCACTAGACTTCCACATGGTCGGCCACAGTTCAAGCCCCAGACATGGCAGCTTGCTTTCTCACTTTCCCTTTCTCTCTCTCTCTTTGTCTCTCTCTCTGGTCTAATTAAAAATAATAACAAATAAAATTGAATTAAATAATTATTTTTAAAATGTTTGCTGTAAGAGGTGTGCACTTACTGGAGAGACAGAGAGAGAGAGAGAGAGAAAAGTAAGATAGCACTCCCATGGGTAGCCACAGCACAGTCCCTTCTCCTCCATTCTCTCACTTAACATATCCCTGTGGTTAAATATCTCCAGGATGGGCTGGGTGCCCCTATAGACCACTGAGTACCACCCACTCAACATTCTAATTGCTTTATATATATACTGATATATATATTATATGTATATATAATTATTTTATTTAACTTTATTTATTTACTTACTTTAATTTGACCAGAGAGGGACAGAGTGAGGGTGGTGGTGGGAGGGAGTGAGAAAGCAAGGTGCCAGGTCTGAGACTTGAACCAAGATCGGTCATGTGGGAGTCCAGTGCCCTTAACCTTAATGCCACCTGCTGGCCCCCCAGCATTCTTATTTCATAGGTCTGAAAATGCTCAGCTCAGGATGGATGGCTCCAGTCATATGTTAACACATCTACTGTCACACAGGAAAATACCTGACATTCTTTATTTTTTTTTTTTAAGAGAGATTTTTGCTATAGGGCACATGCACTCACCAGAGAGAGAGTGACAGAAAGTGAGAAATCACCCCTCGGGGGTAGGGGGGCAGGCCACACCACAATCCTTTCTCCTCTATTCTCCTTTTGGGATCTTGGGCACACATGCACATGTGCCCGCTGTGAGTGTCAAGCTACCGGGTTTGGGACTCGAACCATAGTCAACAACAATATAACCATTACATTATCTGACATTCTTAATAAGGTGAGCAATCCTCTGCAGCAGAAGGCATGGCCTTACTCCAAAGCCTGAGGAATATGTATGGAGTCTCTCTTATGGGGCTTTGCCAGAGACCCCACACACAGTCTTACCTATCACATACATCTCTAGTATTGTATCCTCCAAGTCCAGGACAGCTTGTATTATCAACCAGACCTTTTTAAAATCTATTCTTTTTCCTTTGGGACCTATTCAAAATATAAAAACAGATTTCCAAGTGACCCAATAAATGCTTGGTGGCCAAATTAAGTAATATAGACTATAAACTGACATCAAATCCAAAAGGGCAAGCAAGAGAAATAGGACTCTCAGTGGTAGAAGATTGTATGCTTTATAATTCTGCAAAATAACCCAAAATTTAACAGCCTGAAAGAACATTTACCTTACACTCTCTGTGGATCAGGAGTATGGGTGTGGCTTAGCTTTGTGTCTCTGTCTCTAGGTTCATCAGAGTTGTAGTCTAAGTGTCTGCCAGGGCTGTGGGTTTTATTCGAAGTCCTATCTGATAGCTTCAAATACTCCCAAGCTTTCTCACACGGATACCGGAAGAATTTGTTCCTCCAGAGATATTAGACTGGGAGCCTCAGGTCCCCACAGGCTGTTGCCCAAGGCCTCCCTCAGTTTCCTGCCACATGAGCCTCTTTTTTTAAAAATAATTATTTTATTTTAACTTGATTTATTCATTCATTTATTTTCATTTGACCAGATAGAGACACACAGAGAGAGAGAGAGAGAGAGAAAGTGAGTTAGTAAGCCACCAGGTCCAGGACTTGAACCATCGTCGGTCATGTGGGAGTGTCAGTGCTTTAACCACCATGCCACCTGCTGGTCCCCATGAGCCTCTTTTTTTAAATTTCCAGCGAGTGCACGCACTTGCCAGAGAGAGACGGAGGGAGAGAGAGAGGACCTCTCACTGGGGCATAGTGTTGCCCAAATCCTTTCCCTTCCATTTCTCCATCCTGTTGAGATTTTTGGAAGCATGCACAGGCACCTGGCATGTTTTTCAAGCCATCAGGGCCAGTATTCAAACTGCACAGTTGGCCATATGGGATCCAACTCCCTTAACCACTTGACTACAGCCCAAAACCATTTTAAAAGGCATTTTCTTTGGTAGAATTTATTGCTAGAAAAATCTTAGCTTTTAATGTATTTTTAAAAGATCTCATAATGTGGCCTTCTACAGATGTGATTGTTAGTAAGGCATCCTGATGTCCCAACAATAGGTAGGAAAAATTAAGGGACAACATTCTCAAACAAAAGAAGTGAAAACTAACAAACAGCCTCTTGAAACATTTAACTAATACTGTGATCTAAACTCTCTCCTCTTTGCTTTATTCACCTTGTATAACAAACTGTGATTATAAATTTTTTATATCATGTCAACAAAAAAGAGCCAATCAACATTTATCGGGAGTAAGTTGACAGGAGATCAAGCAGAGGAAGCAGACTAGTTTCCCTCTCCCCAAGCTGCTGCCCAAAGCACAAGGTTACTCTCAAAACATTGGCGTAATGGCTATGTCACTGGACTCCCGTGTAGTCAACCGTAGTTCGAGTCCCGGGCCCGGTGGCTTAAACTCACGCCAGGCACGTGTGCGTGCATGCCCAAGATCTCTCGAGGAGAATGGAGGAGAAGGGATTGCAGTGTGGCCATTCCCCCCTGGGGGGGGTGATTTCTCGCTTTCTATCTCTCTGTCTCTCTCTGTCTTTCTGGCGAGTGCACATGCCCTATAGCAAAAACCTCTCAAAAAAAAAAAAATTTGCAATTCTGAGAGACTGTCAACAATCCTTACTCTCAAGCTTAAAACCTGGAAAACTAAGACTATTTCAGCCACTGGCCCATTTCGGGAACTCATTTCAGAATCAATCTTTCAAGTTGGCTCTCAGGCCAATTGCAAAGAAAGAATTAGAAGGTTCATTAAAAATATATTTTAGGGGAACCAGCAGTTAGCGTAATGGCTATGTCGCTGGACTCCCACGTAATCGACCGCGGTTCATGTCCTACTACCTAATAAACTTACAGGGCTAATTCATATAGCTCACTGGAAATTCTTTTCTGGACAAGGAGGGGTGAAAGTAAGTAACATTTGAAATAAATTGTTAGTCTCTCACAGAGTTTAAAATATGCACATGGACCAGAACATGGTATAATGGTAACATCGCTGGACTCCCACATAGGTGACCAGAGTTCGAGTCCTGGACCTGGTTTAAAACTCAAGCAGGGTACATGAGCATGTATGCCCAAAATACAGTAAGGAGACTGGAGAAGAAGGGATTGTAGCATGCCCATCCCCACTGGGAGGCGATTTCTCACTTTCTGTCTCTCTGTCTCTCCAGTGAGCACACATGCCCTACAGCAAAAATCTAACCCCCCCCCAAAATATAATATATACTTTAACGTGTACATATATGTGTGTATATATATTTTTTCTTTTTTAAATAATTACTTTATTAACTTTATTTATTTATTTATTTTAATTTGATCAGAGAGGGACAGAGTAAGAGAACATGAGAAAGCAAGCTGTCAGGTCCAGAACCCGAACCGTGGTGGGTCATATAGGAGTCCAACACCCTTAACCACCACGCCACCTGCTGGTGCCTATCCCAAATCTCTTTAACATTGTTATAGACACTCAAGATTGATGGACTGGTTATACCCATTCTTGCTGACAACACCTAGATCCTCACCAGAAATGAATATTCAACGTCAACTTTCCTGATACTAACAAAGGCCTTTGGTGACACCTTGTGAAATGTTCGATATTGCAGCCCAGACCCCAGAACAGTGAGTAGTGAATAGTCTTTCAC